ATGGGATGCAATGCACTTTTTACCTAGTTTTTATGTATCTATGTGCGTTTTTTTTAATTTTATATTTACCCTGATACAACTAATACATTAAATAACGAAAACAAACTGTTTAAACAATTTTATAAAAAAAGACTAGTATTAAGTAATTATGAAAAAAAATCATTGATATAGGTTTACATGAGAACTTGTGTCTCTGTGAATCCATAGGAACACAACGTATTAAATACACCTGAAAAGTGTTTACCCATACATACAAAGCAAACCCACAATAAGGTATAACTCCTACCTATAGAACAAGTCATTTATTAATTTATTTAATTTTAGACAAAAATACACAACCATTGAAGTATGTTTTAGCATGTAGTTTATATGAATTCTGTATGCAAGAACATTAGCCTAATGATTTATTGTTTCAGTAGAACTTCTTGACTGAATCTGAAACTTATTTAAATCACACTAAATTGAGACATACAAAATATAACAGACTTCCAGAAAATAAAGGCTTAATGATTAACGTTTTATCTTTGCATGAGTCAACTAGTATCTAATTCCTTAGTTTCAACGCCATGTCATTGGCATTTCTTATCAGCAAAACGCTTTAGAGAAAGCAAACAAAAGTCCTCAAATGTTTTTAATATGGTTAGGGTCTTCACACCGACGTCCGACACAGTACCTGCTAAGCTATCAAGTCCTTAGGTACTCACACAGCCGCCATTTTGTTTTTTTCAGTTATTAATTTGTTTCTAACGAATGGTTAAACATACGAAATTGAAACTTTGCACAAACATTTATGACAACTAGACAAAGCTACAAAAAAATTATGACGATTTTTCCAATTCATAAAACAAAATGGCGGCCATTTAACATTTTGTTTCTTAAATAACTCTAAAACCGTTGATATTAAAAATATTTTACAAAGGATAACTTTTTTAAGGCAATTTTAATACAAATCGATTGACACCTTAGTTTTTAAGATTGAATGAGTATTAACTGAGATATGGCGATTTTAGTGATACGTGACCTCTAGAGGTTAGGTGGAGCGCATTCTGAAAGCGGTCACGTATCACTAAAATCACCATATCTCAGTTAATACTCACCCAATCTTAGAAACTAAGGTGTAAATCGATTTGTATTTAAATTGCCTTAAAAAAGTTAATTTTGTAAAATCTTTGTAAAATCAACGGTTTTAGAGTTATTTAAGAAACAAAATTTTAAATGGCCGCCATTTTGTTTTAGGAATTGGAAAAATCGTCATAATTTTTTTGTAGCTTTGTCTAATTTTCATAAATGTTTGTGCAAAGTTTCAATTTCGTATGTTTAACAATTCTTTAGAAACAAATTAATAACTAAAAAAAAACTAAATGGCGGCTGTGTGAGTAAATAAGGACTTCCGGACAATTTAAATATGATATTTAGGTATGTTTCTTACCCAGGAGCAATGCCCTAAAATCTTGGTAGAGGGTTCCGGGACACCCTGTATATTTTTTTATAAACTGAACCATAGGTATAGTAGTCACGGTTGGTGAGTATAAAGGAACGGTTAAACCGAAAGCATAATCTGCAACTTTTTCGCCCTGATTTATTTTAATTCATAATAAAGAAAAATAATCCACTTGCTAGAAGGGTTCCTGTGTGCATTTTATGTATAGAAAAACACCCTAAGGAATCATGTAGGTACTATGTGGGTTATCATTTTTCACGTGGGTGCCAGCTTGGCAGAGTGGGCATAACCTCAGAATCCGCCATTTTAAAAATGGCGGCGGCATTTCTTACATGAAACTCATCGGGAGCTTATATCTCGAAAACGGTAATATATAGCGAGTTACTTTTATTACAATAAATGTTGCTTACACAATAAGGAACAACTTTTGTATTAACAAAAATGCCCTAAATATAACTATTTAGGAGTAGTTGAGCAATTTATGCTAATGTAACCTATACATTTTTACTCTGTTTGACAAAAACATTCTAATATCTTTAAAAAACTGTTCTTTTTAATTTGGCACATAGCAGTAATTGCTCTTTACATCTAAGGTCTAAATACCCCCACCGCAGCAAACCTACAGAATTAGCAAACATTTACCTGGCTGCATTTTTACTAAAATATTAAAATTGTCATATTTAACCTATAAATTTTATCTCTGTTGCCAAAAAATCTAATAGTTATAAAAAAGGTGTTATTTTGTAATTTTGCACATAGCACTAATTTTTCTTCTCATTTAAGGTAAAATACCTGCAAAAAGTATTCGAGAAGCTTCTGACAGATATATAAGTTATTAAAATGATATAAAATATTTTTAAATTAATTATTTGTTATTACATCACGCATACAAATTTTAAAAGAAATATAGACCTTTCTATATAATGAATTTTTATTATTACAAATAATAATAAATCTACGGTTTTAACAGAAATTATTGTTATAATTCATAACATTTATTATTAAAACGGCGATGGAGCGGGAACAGGACCGGCGGCAAAGTTGGTGCATCGGCCAAAGCATTGACGTCTCGTTAACACAACCTGTACCTTGACATTGGTGGTAGGCTGCTTCGGACTGATTGTATTGATATTGAACTAGTTTCGTGGATCATTAAATTTGAGCGCAGTTATTGGATCTAAATTATAAGCCTTTTAGGTTAAGAGGAATATCTGTTCCCTTTTATAGTCATCAGAAAATGAAACTGTTCACAATATACTTGTGTGCATTGCGGCATTCAACTATAGGAACACTTCTACATTTAAAAAAGGACAACACGGTATGCCAGCTAGTTTCGTACACATGTGCAGCTTTGATTAGGACAGGTTTTGCAGTTGCAGCCGTCTAATAGATCACTTAGGCAAAGCTGGAAATCAAATTTTGACCAAAAACCAACAAAGAGTAACCACCATCACTGTATCCAAATGTTAAAGGATCGACTTGAAAAACGCGTTCTTCCAAGCAATGGATTTGGATGTATGTACAATAAAAAGCACGTAAGATATGCTGTCTAGTAGCTCTACTAGACAGAATTTCTTCACGAGCAACGGATGCAGTTCTTTAAGAGTATTCGTTGTACAGTGACAGTACAACAGACTCCAGTACAGTGACAGTGATCCAGTGTCATAGATCATTCATAGTTAGATCATTCATAGCTTCACGCTGACGATCCTTTTTTTAATGTGAACTAAATACTTCTCTGTGTTTTTCAAACTTTTTCTATCCCTTCCTTACAATCTTTTCCAAAGTGCATTAGCAAAGTACTTGGATTACATTTTAGGGTAGCACGCTTTGTTCCAAATTTGCTGGCAAAGTCACAGCCAGTTAAAATATGGAGTGTCGGGAGAACTGAGCAAAGGTTACTTCCAAGCCTGTTTGCTATAATGTGAACTAGTACATATCAAGAAGTTCTGACTGAACCAAGTCGCATCCACAATTCCTGCAAACCTTCCGAAGAGAATCCATTCAATTTCATAAAGTGTAAAGCCAACATTACGACATCCTGTATCCGAAGACAAAACAACGACTTAATTTGATAACTCGAGCAAAAATGATCCAATTTTAATGAAATTTATCACAAACGTGTAAACCTACGTTTTCAGACGAGTTTGGACTATTAAACCAGCACGATCGGACTATGGGAACGGGGGTTTATGGGGAGTTTTATGGGGTAAAAATAGATTTTTCCAATTTTTGACCCTAAAAACATGAAATTTTATAATGAACCAAACCATTTTGTAGAGCTCAAATAAGATATAATTATGTACATTGAAGCGTTTTTGTATGCCCAAAAGTTACGGAGATAATAAACAAAAATTACATTTAAAATTCCCATGTTATTCTTATGGAGAATAAATAAACTGTTTTAGTTCCCTTGTTTATGGATATATTATAATCAAATTATTTGAAAATGTTGTTTCATTCATACTAAGCTATCAACATTTCAATACAAATTAAAAAAAAACCTCAATACCTTTCCTGAAGCAGCAAACCTAAGTACTCATTACAAATCAATGTCATTTAAATAGGAAATCACTCTGTCAATTTTAATATTTTAGTAGAAATGCAGCCAGATAAATGTTTGCCTAGTCTGCAGGTTTGCTGCGGTGGGGGTATTTAGACCTTAGATGTAAAGAGAAATTAGTTCTATGTGCCAAATTAAAAAGAACAGTTTTTTTAAGATATTAGCATTTTTTCTCAAACAGAGTAAAAATGTATAGGTTAAATTAGCATAAATTGCTCAACTACTCCTAAATAGTAATATTTAGGGCATTTTTGTAAATACAAAAGTTGTTCCTTATTGTGTAAGCAACATTTATTGTAATAAAAGTAACTCGCTATATATTACTGATTTCGAGTTATAAGCTCCCGATGAGTTTCATGTAATAAATGCCAACGCCATTTTTAAAATGGCGGATTCTGAGGTTATGCCCACTCTGCCAAGCTGGCACCCACGTGAAAAATGATAACCCACATAGTACCTACATGATTCCTTAGGGTGTTTTTCTATACATAAAATGCACACTGGAACCCCCCTAGCAAGTGGATTAAAAGCCGTTTGTAGATGTCAACCAGATCAAGAGCCAGATGATTATTTATATTTGCTACTATGAACGAGACTACAATTGTTTTTATTAAGTTTCAAAATCGTAAACAAACAATCTTCAGTAGTTAACATGCTCTCAATGATAATCAGTACATAGAAATATAAAGAAGCATGAACCTATGTTTGTTTCCATACAATTCAATTAATGGAAATTGATCTTTGAAAAAAAATCTTCAAAAAACATTTTTGCAAAACCCTCATTCGTAAAGGTTGAGATCTGACTGGTTCAAAACGAACTATATTATTGCTACCAGTGACTCTAAGACGATAATGAACGTGGATATTGAAAATATGTACTTCCATGAAGACTAATAATTGCTAAATAATAATTTAGGGAATAAACTAAAAAAACCTTAGAATTTCAAAACCAACTTTAAGTCTACTAAAAATGTGAAAACACTGATAAATACTTACTTGCCTTCCTATTGACTCCCAGTTCGATTTGAGTACCAATGAATGAGGTTATGTCATTTGAACCGTCACAGCTGCAAATAGTGAAACATAGGTCAGTCTTGCTATTATTTTAATGATTATAATGTATTATAAAATAAATATTTAAAAACATTTTTATAGGTAGACTAAAGTCCCTCTTGATTGGGCCGGATATTATCTGACTACTAGTTAAATCATCATACAAACTGGGGTTTAAAGAAAATCAGTCATAAATTAGAAAGGAATTGTTAAAATACCCCTAAAAAAATCATTATATTTTCAGCACGCTGTTTGTATACATTGCCTCTATAACCTACTGTGGTGTTTTAAAACTGTGGATTTTGATTATTTAAATTCACTCAAATGTTAAATTATATATTTAATAACAGCTAAAAAAGGGCTAGTGACTGTAACGAGAGAGCGAAAATCTGTTAAACATTTTTAGGTATATTTTAACTTAATTAATCTAAAATACTGCTTATTTGTGAGCACAAGGCGCATTTCAATTAATTTAACTAACGCATTTTAAACCAAAGTAACAACCTTAATCAAGAACATACTGTATTAAAGGTTATCAGGCCCAATTAACGGAGTTATTTGAGTTCATGCAAGTTTTTTTAGGCTAACCATTTTAAGAGTCAACAACGCCCAATTTGCTTATAATATTTGCTTATATAACAGTTTGTATGTGTAAAAAGAAAGATTCTGGCCATACTCAATGTTTGTCTACCTTACTACGCATGTGAAATATATTACTGTACTATATTTACTAATTATCGTGTTTTGATTTCATAAATATGGCAGGTTATCGTAAAAATCTTCGCATAGGAGTATCAGTGTTACTAAAATATATTTGCAATTGAAATATAAATAGACTATCCATTTCGATGGATCAAAAATATCATAATGAGTTTATTGCTTCAATAAAATTTATATCAGTATACTATACTGATTTGTTTTTAAATAATCGAGGTTTACATACCTTGAGTCCAAGCAATTCTACAGTGACTAGATATACATTTCGGGATTATAATCCCAACAAGGTAGGACAGAGTCTATCGCTCGTCAGCTTCATACCCTTACATTTTAAAGTCTTTTATGCAGTAAAAATTAGTTTTTAAATGTTTTTTGTATATTGTGCTGTGTGGTCCAAAAGACAAGTCTGTGAAGATGTTTCGTGTTTTTGAAGACCTGATGGAATTATAATCCCAAAATGTATACACAGTCATTGTACTAAAACATAAATTGCTTGGACTGATGGTATGTAACCTTGATTATTTATAATTTAACAATTCTGGAGGCTACAAAATGAATTAAAAAAACATACAATTCCTTCTATTTGAAAGTAACATGTTTATTATGACTGGACAAAAAATATACGTATAATTGTGTTCATTTGCCTAATTTCAGTCTAAAATTTAAATCAAACTACATCGTAATGTAGATTGGTTTCAATTTTAGAAACAAAAAAAATATCGAAATATTTAATTTTCAGTCGATAAAAATTGTCAATAAATTCTTTTTACCCTTACCATTGGTAGAACTTAGTACATAGAACAAAATGCATGTTATCTTCGGTCCTGAAGGTAATAACACAAGTACCAAAGATATTTTTGTAAACTAATTTTGTAAGTGGACAGCTTTTAAGTTTATATACCGTTGGTAAGGTGGAATTGTAAACAACCGATTAGGGTCTAAGTCAACAGTGGCACTAGTCTAGTACCAAATATTGTAAATACATAAATACAATCTATAATTAATTACATACATAAAAACTGATTTTTGGCACGCTAACCTTATATGCTTAAGAAAGTTGTTAATAAAACGCTAAAATACAGTGTAAATTTGTCAAAAGTTTTGACCTTAAAAGTAAAAAAATATAACATTTAACCCCGGGGGAAATCTGTACTTAACCATTAGGGGCAATATCTTCTGAGCATCCCTTAAACCAGGAAATGTACCTTTATTGAGACCATTTGCAAGGACTCATTTTATACATTTTATGGTACAATCATAGCATTTAGGTACTGATTGTTAATAGATATTACAAAATTAGATATTTGTTATAAATGTAACTATTTAAATGATAAATAACGTATACAATTGCATTTTACAGGATCCACGGCCTTATTAATAATGTAATATTATATGATAAATAAAATAGTGTAGAATATATAATAAAGATTAATCGATAGTTTAAGGTGTACCTAAAATGTAGTTTGATAAATGGATATTAAAAATGACACATGCTAAACGTCTTTTTAAAATTAACTTTTTCGTGATTTATTTTGTCCTACATTACATTCTTATATTACAACATAAAGTGCCAAATACATAGTTCATGTCACCGTTCTGTTCAGATTTGTTGCTTAGAACACAAGAAATAGTAGTTAGTTTTACCACTAGCTTATTAATGTGTGTAATTGCTTGCATAAAACATACACGATAAATAAGTAACATAATTTTAAATATGCGTTGTGAATTCACAGAACGTACTTTTATAAACAATGTATACATTGGTAACACAGTCTAAAGGCCACGATAGGCTACAACTTATTATTTTACCTACTATATATTATGAATGGGGTAAAATAAATTTAAATAACATATCGATGATATGGGAACTTAATGCATAAATTTATACAAAAGAAGGTAGTATTTAAATTTAAGTAAGTTTTTTTGGTAATTGTAGGTACTTTAAAATAGCATTCACCTTGTTAAATTGAATCAGATCGAATTATGTAAATATATGCCTATAGTTACGACATTACATATGTTGAAGTTTTTTAGTGTTCTGGATTTATAAAGTTGTAATGAATTGATCCAGTTTCGTATTGAATTGAAAGCTGTTCATTAATAAAACAACATTTAATTAAATCTACCATGAGAATAAAATAATTGTTTGCGTCAAATTAAGGATATTAGAAGATTGATTATTGAGTTTTAATCAAAAGTGTTTTAGTTAAGTACGAGAGCTCGCCCCGTGGTTGAAAACTCGACCAAAACTATGTATTGTGCAAACTTCTCTATTTTCACCCCACGATGTAAATAAAACATGTGCTTGGAATTTCTTTCATTTGTTTAGATTTTCTGTTTATTTTTTTGTTGTAATTTCGTTACCAACATGGCAACCCATAAGACCCATGTATATTTTAAATCAATTTTTTGTGCATATTTGTTTTAGCCTATTTTAATTTATAGAGGGATTCTGGACATCTACAGGAAAATATGTTTCATTTGGTACCAACCGCGTGTAACTCGGTGCAGTAGTATGGCCTGCCTAGCTGTCATTAATGTTGCAAAGGGTTTTTTTAGTATATAAGATTCGATTTTAATTCTTTGCACCTAGTTAAACAAGTTTAAAGGAATCTAATTTCCTTTGTATCGAATTAAAATATAGTCAATTACGATTAATTTAACCAAACGAGAACTATCCCAGTGATTGTGTTTCATATCGTTATATACTTTTTAGATTTTAAGGCTTTTTATTTAGGATTGATTTGCTCCCCAATGGATGGAGTATTTTAAACTATAAACTTGTCTCTTTGACCCTGGCTCAGAGTGGTATCAGGGCAAGACAAGTTTGGTCAACGCCCACACAAGTTTAGGCTGATGCAAAGTCGACTTCAATATACCAGCACTATCGGCTATGGGGCTTTGACTTTCAAATAAAACGAATAAAAGGTTTATTATTGAGTTTTGGAGGCTACTGAATGTAAGATCTAGTATAAGACAACGGACGTCACTAGGGAAATGAATAACACAATCACTTGTAATAGTTCTAATTTAGTAAATTTGGAAACTGTTAGGTTTTAGTACTTTTAAGGGCTACGATTAAATGATTATTTAGATTTTTTTCTATAACGGGATTGTTAAATATTAGTTTTTTCAAGTAGTTGATCAAGTAGTCCTAAATCAAAATAAACTGAATAGACACGTAAATATATACCAAACATTGGAATACAACAGTAAAAATAGCCTCTAATCGTGGGTGGTGAATTAATAAAATTGAGGTGATATCCTATTCCTATAACCTCCCCTTTTCAGAAGAAAAGACTAACTAAAAAAATCGATTAAAAATAATACAATTCGAAAATATAGTTAGTTAACGATCATAAAATTATCAATACCAGTTAACGTAGCTATATAACCAAAGAAGGGCTTCATTTAGGTTAAATTCGAAATAGGCTTCAATTCTGTAATGGTGATACACAACATTTAAAAATAATAGATAAGTACATTTTACTTTTATAAGATAATATTAAAACTGTTTAGTTATGTTATTGTTACTGATAGTTGTATGATGAAGTATACGTTTGAATATTAAAGCAAAATGAACAGAATGAAAGGAAAAGTGAAATGGATACTTACAACACTCTGGAGATGTAGACCTGGAAGGTGTCAGGGTCGTCAGGCAGAGGGAAGTAAGTGTAGCAAATGTTGTCCAAGAGCTCAGATTCTGAAGACTTGGGCAAGAAGGTGACGAAAAGAGGTTGGTCACAATACTCCTGTGGATTAAAAACGTGATTAGACTTATCACCAAAAACATGAGATTCTACATAAAAACTACTTTTTGATGTTACTTTATAGTTTTGCTATCCAGTAGTTCGTGAAACCGAAACGAAAATTTGTTTCCTGACATTATACAAAACCCCATTCGTTATTGAAAAATTTGAAGCCATCATGATCAAACGTTTTAACGGATTTTCACAAACCAAATTTAAATAACGTGAGATTTAAAAAATATAAACACGTTAATTAATGACGAATCCCTTCGAATTTTTTTAAATTTCGTAGCTATTGAGATCAAGGGTACTTTAGTATTATACCGACCACACCTAATTATTTTAACCTAACCTAACCTGAGGGTGGACTATGTTTTAGGTTAGGTTTGGAAGATTTTGCTATTTAAAATCAATTAAATCCTATTTGAAATTTGATTTATCGGTGCGACTAAAGTGCAAGATCAAGAATACAGTACTTGTAATTTTGTTGAGATTTATCGGTGCGACTAAAGTGCAAGATCAAGAATACAGTACTTGTAATTTTGTTGAGATTTATCGGTGCGACTAAAGTGCAAGATCAAGAATACAGTACTTGTGATTTTGTTGAGATTTATCGGTGCGACTAAAGTGCAAGATCAAGAATACAGTACTTGTGATTTTGTTGAGATTTATCGGTTCGACTAAAGTGCAAGATCAAGAATACAGTACTTGTGATTTTGTTGAGATTTATCGGTGCGACTAAAGTGCAAGATCAAGAATACAGTACTTGTGATTTTGTTGAGATTTATCGGTGCGACTAAAGTGCAAGATCAAGAATACAGTACTTGTGATTTTGTTGAGATTTATCGGTGCGACTAAAGTGCAAGATCAAGAATACAGTACTTGTGATTTTGTTGAGATTTATCGGTGCGACTAAAGTGCAAGATCAAGAATACAGTACTTGTGATTTTTGTTGAGATTTTTTGGTCTAAGTCGACTTCGTGCTACTTATTTATTTATCTTAGTATTAATTAAATTGAATACAAGCTAATTTTCCTAGTTGATTATAAAACTACAGTTACAACGCACCTCGACCATTAGAATCTAGCAATATAGTGTCATTTGACACCTGAGTGTTTCTACTAAGTTTTTGATAATTCATGAATACCTATACTCTAATTTAATTACTTACATACACTAGTACCGGTATGATTTATTTTTATTTTAAACCAATAAAACGATTAGAATGTATTGAAACAACAAACCAGATGTTCCTCTTTTCATTTTTAAGAAAACCTCGTGATGTACGTTTGATTAACTATATGAGGATTAAAGTTAAGGTTAAACAGACTTTCTGCATTTGGTTGTTTATGCAAATTTTCAAATTATAGCCAATATATTAAAGGTGAGACATTGACATTTTTTCTGATGTTTATATGCGAAATTTATAGCCTTTTAGGGTGGCTTTATGTACCGTATGAAAAATGGGTCGAAAATTTTTAACGCAGTATTGCTTACGGTGCATATAAAAAATGTGTTCTTTTTCAAATGTTTACAAGGATATGTAGTAATGATACTATTAGTTTAATTTTTAATGGACCAATGGAACAGACACAGGAAAATAACAGCAAAATTTGGTTTCCTTTCTTTAGAAATACCTACGTCCAGTGAAAGTAAACCAAACGTAAAATAAGTGTTATTATAATTATTAATAAAATCATTTACGAATCCGCTACTCTAACAGACATTTCTTATATTAATATAGTAAAATTGGCAAAATTACATAGACATTTTGTTCTATTAAATCTTCTATAATAACACATATAATTCCGTTAAAAATACCAATACCAACATAAATATAGGGAAATTTAATTCGTGGTTTCAATTTTAACAATTGTATTTACGTTTGCTTTGCGGAAAATGTGGATAAATAATATAGTTTGTGCCAATGGTATTAGGTATAATTTATAATGAGAAATAAATGCATAATTTACAGCTTTATATGTTAAACAGCCGTTAATGATTTTACAATGTTTATCTTGTAGATAACCTACATAACAAATCATTCTTGAAATATAACAAGCTAATAAAACTGACAATATAAGATACCAGCCGTTCTATACTATAATGCAGAGAAATATACGGACGTTATTTATGATAGCAATTGCCTCTTTATAAGGAAAATATACCCGACGCTATGCATAGAATTGTAGTTCAATGGCCTTCAGGCATGTTCCGTATACTCAAGTAATAGATTATATTATGTACTATGCTAAAAATCTAACTTTATTAAGTTTATTGTAATATACCATTTTAGTGACCATAGATCGGCAGACCTAACACTTAAGGCGAGTCCTAAAAAATGGTTAATATTATCATGGACCTAAAATAACTATAACAAAAAAACTACAAAAAAAGCTTTAAGTTATTGGCATGATTTAAATCCGAACCACGGACCAGCGGCAATGTACTTCTATGCCTTTGTCCCCCAGTTGAAGTCTGACAACAAGTTTTTTTATCATTTATGGGTCATCAATTTTTTATGTCAACGTAATAGTATTGTTCCTCTTAAGTTCAGTATCTCGGAATATTTTTAATTTAGAATAATTAATGTCTAATGCTTATTTGAAAGTAGTGGTATTTCTTACAGAAATATTAACCGTGCAGGTATTATAATATTTATAATTCATTCTTTACACTTGATCTTAAACAATATACAGTATGAGAATAAAGATTCTAAACATGTTAGTTATTATTAATATATTTGTAGTCCAAATGGTTATGTTTTCTTTATTTTTTATTAATAAATACTAGCTCAAATTATTAGAGTTAACAATAGAGTTAATTTCAGTATACTGTGATACAAATACTAAGTAGGGCATAATTTTTAATACATTAAATACTAAGAGGAAAAAGTTAAATACCTAAGAGTCATTTTTTTTTAATATACTAAATGGAATGACAACAATTAGATTGATGAACTAATTACAGTTAATTTGCAAGGCAATAGCCGTCGGAATATTTTTCAATGTTTAAGACATGATACTTTTCGTTCATTGAAATGCCAAGTTTTTTCTTATCATGTTCACAGATATATCCCAAAATACATAACCTAAAAAGGGCATTGATAAAAAGATCATAAGTAGTTTCCCTAGTCAAAAGGTTGAATTGGTATTAAAAGCGAAGCGGTAGTATTCATGTGTATAATACAATCCACATTAACAGTTGGGATGAAAGAAATTTTTCAAACGACTGTCAATTTAAACGTCAAATAACCTCTTAGCTCAGCTTAAAATAGAGTTGACCCTCATAGAAACTACCATTAAAATAAAAGATTAATTTATTGTACTATACTGATTTGTCGAAGTAATCTACATTATTTACTGATTGCAAAGACATATACATTTGATGCTGCTTTAGGTAACGTTAATCGTTTGATATTTTTACATGCCTTATTTAAATTTATTGTGTTGAATATTTCATAACTTCGTAAATATTTAGTGATTAACAGCGATTGATTACTGTTCTCCAATAGATTAAAAAGTAAAATGGTCATGACGTTCTTCCATGAATACCAGTTCCAACAGAAAAAAACTAACAAATAGTCTTCATAAATTAATTAATGATTAATTAATAATTTAATTATGAGGGATTTTGCAAAATTATAAAATGTAATTTAGAACTAAATTTTTTCGTTGACGAGGTTTATTATTAAGTTGACTTGTATGACTTTACTAGATTAGGTCTAACACCGTTTGAGGCAAATAAAAGGTGGAAAATCAAATCCTTAAACTGTAAAAATAAAATATAGACAATATAAATATTAAGAGTATGATAGATCAACTTTAAGTTTCTAAAACATCAATTTTTATGAAAAGCCAAAAGTTTAATTTAAAATTCAAACTATTCAAATAAGATTTCTCAAATCTTTAATTTTAAATTTCTTGTGACAATAAAAATTTATTACTCAGACAACTTGTTTAAGAATCCTTAAAATAGTATCGTTTTGTTACGAAATAGTATACAATAACTGAATATTGTGTTAATAGATTTCTTTAGAAAAGTGACCAAATTCGGCGTTTTATCAAATATGATAATATTAAAGTGAAAATTCTTATATTTAATGTACGTCGAAAAAGATTGTTTCCATAGAAACAACACCAAATATTTTTTCCACCTAGGTTTAAATACGATTGTTTCAAACGCTAAATCTGATCAAATCAAACTTAACAATTCAATGGTGAAAACAGAGGTGATCAGCATTTTTCAATTGTTAACAAAAAGATTACATAAGAACACCATATTCAATCTAAATACTATAAGATATGTTTTGAGAAAAATCATTGTTAATTTTTTTCAATGTATAACTTTCGAATGTATTGCAGACGTTTCATACTATGTAGGTATTTTACCATATGCAATGCATTGTAAAACACTTATCTTCATTAAATGTGTACATTTAAATCTCTTTTATTAATGTCCTCTCGACTCTTTCTTAAATATTTGTATAGTCGCTAACCAATAGATTAAGACAACAATCTGTTAAGTCAAATTGTCTTTTGTCATTTCATTTTCAAGAACTTTAATTATATTCGTCGTTGTGTTGTCCGATAAACCTGGCCACGCTACAAATCACCGTGGGTATAAATATTTTGTAAATGTAGACTATAGTGTTAGTAATAAGTAGTAGCTTGATTACAAGACTCTCATGGGAATTATAAAATATGTCTGGTTATGAAGGTTGACTTTTTATTGAGGTTTGCAATAACATGTGGTTAGAGGTAAAATAAATTCAAGGGGAGTAGAAAAATACACTTGTTATCAAGAATGACTTGTTATCGAGGGTCTTATCGAGGTTCCACTAACACATACATTAAGAAGATCCCTGAAGATGCCAAACAAGCTGACGAAATGCATCTAGGGTGACAAACCCTTACTATCTTACTGCCTACTTAAGAACTCGCTACAAAGGTAATAAAAAAAACTCTTAAAATCGTCGATTTAAAATGTAACTATTTAAATATAATCTTTTTTAATTTAATTTTTATATCAATCCAAATTGTCAGGAGTTTAACGTGTTTATTTACTTTGGGTTTGAATAGAAGGAGTATTATGTTTGAATTCATTGAGTTAAGAGGTTATTTTAAAGCTTTATCTTTCTTATTAGTGGAAAAACACTAAGATTTCAAGAATAAATTACTGAAAAACTATACTTGTGGCCATCAGAATCGTAAGCGTTATATCGATATTAGTATATATGAGTATCCCTAATTCTCTTAGCGTTGTCTTACAATGCTATATTATATCTTACGTGTAACTCTACGAATTAGAAAATGAACAGTAAAAGCTTTTATTAAGCTTATAGAAAATACAGTAGCCGTAAAAATTCATACTAGGGTTTTACCAAGCTTTTGAAGTTTGTTTACAGGTATACTTGAATCTTCAAAACTATCAGACGATTTATTTCATGACATTTAAAGTACTCTCTTGATTCTTGCATTTAGGGTTGAGTTAGGCAGTGCATATTTTTCTTAAGTACGTGGGGAAACTAACTATTTGCACATGAGTATACTTACGTCCCTCAAACTTCTGTCGATGGTGTCTACATCGTAACAGCCGTTGCTCTTTCCACCAGCGAAAGCTGCGCCCACCAGAGCGGAGAGGATGATGACTAAATAACTCATCTTGTCTGCAACCAAACAACAACAATCATTGACGTAAGGCAAGCTTCCACATGACTATGTCCGACTAAATCCCATCCAGTAAATCACCACAATAAACAAATATGTGCCTAAACAAATAAAAGATAAATTAATTATATTATTCGTAATAATAACATCAATATTAATTTATCATCAAGCTCAACATGTGCCGATTATGTCTAGCTGTTAATAAGATGGATAATAGTAGGATTGGATGAGTGTTCAAATAATGTATGGTGTAATCTAAGTCTGGTAATGCATTTTGTTCACTGGATCGTGATTTTAATAAATCGTTAATTGTACGTAAAAAAGGATACTTATATACCTAAATATACAAGATTTGATATGTCAAATTTTCAGATTGTAAACAAGAACTTAATATGTAAATTATTGTCTAAAAGGTAAATTTGTTTATGATATTGTTTGCATGATGTTGTTATCGTGGTAACCCTGTTCTGCATGCTGCTTGTTTACATGTTACTACACTTAATAAATTTAGTTTAAGTGATCGATAAAATGCGCAATGCAACTAACCATCTTTTATTAGAAGTCAGCAAAGTTTTAAGGTTCAAGATTTAATAAAGCCACATTCAAAGATGAAACACATTAACAATCAAAGGTTTCTTTTATACATATGAAAACACGCACTATACTGTGAATGAAACGTTGTGTCTTTTCCTGAAATGCTAGTCTTTTATTTTACGTATTACGCCTTAAGGTTACTTTACGGGGAATTTCACCTTTATAACTGGTGGATTTACAATACAAAATAAACTTGGTCTTTCATAAAATAAATACTTCCACATATGTCGTTACATATTTGATGTTTAAAGATCCAGAAACGTACGATTCAATCTATCTTATTAGGTTATATAAGAAATACAACGTGTAGGCCTATTACCAGTAATATAATGTCAGTCGAAAAAAAACTGTCACAAAATCATACACTAGTTACGGATCACAATGAATATCCAACTCTTACTCATTATATACTTTCAGATGGTATTTACAAAATCCAGTCATCGATCAATACTTTTTTTCTTTTTTTAAGTTTCAAAAACTCGATTCAAAACCTATCGTATTTGTTTTTGCACGAATAATAATATATTATTATTATTTATAAACAATATATTATAGCAATGAACAATCGTGTAAAAAACAAAAATTCACTTCAACCCTTTAAAAGTGTACAATAGATAGGGCGATGTATGTAAACATTGGTACTTATGTATGAATGTTGTTGCTGAGATGATTTCGGGGTGATTGTATTGTTGTTGCTTTATAAAATGTTAACAAATCTGTAAGCATTTAGAACATTTATCTTGTAAGCCGTATTATAGTCTCGTATTGCTTTGTTGATTTAGTGTATTGATTTTTCGTACCATTAAAACATTCTAAAGTATTCCAAAAATTGTTTGATTCTATTTATTTATTTTTGGGATTTTTATTTTTCTTGCATGGGATATCTTATGGCTCAGTGCATATTTTCAAACCAACTGTAAAATAAGTTACTTACAATCCTAATATATGCCGTGTTAATTAGAAAATAACATGCTGGTTTAGGCATATTCAAATATTTAGTAAGATATACTTCCATCTTGAATAATTTGCTATTCAGTTCCATTTGTTTCCATAAACATGCTTTGTTGTGTATTCATTTCCCTTGGTTAAAGTCGACGGATAAAAGGTATATTCAAATAATATATATAGTATATCTCTTGTGATTGAATATTGTATAATTCGTTATTTAAAATCAATTAATTATTATAATGTATACTAATATCATAATAAATTATATACTGGTAAGAATTAAGTAAAATGATAAAATATACAATGAACGTTTTTCTATTTTACCAAATTTGGAGACAAATATTTTAATAAGTACTGGTTTGTATCAATCTTGTATTTCATTTGGTCATTTATCCTAACTTTTGAGCACTATGATAAATACTCACCAGAAATAAAGTCCTTAACACAAGTATCACAGAATATATATAAGCACCTCCGTCGACTATACCACAAACAAACCCAATGTAGAAATGAGTTTTCAAGACTATTGTTATGTCATGTTCTATATCACTTACTCCTATTAATACCTTCAAAGTACTTACAATTCAATTTAAATGGGCCAAACCTCCGCCTATGGGGCCTGCTGTTACTGATTTACCTGGAGAAGTACTATCAGTTTATAGACGATATAAATTGCACGCGTAATATGTACCTTCTATTTATGGTGTTTACCTTATTGATAATTGTGATAGCCTGAGTGAACCTAGTTCTTGTTTAGGCACCACCGCCTACTGTTAAGAACTGATGACTTTAAGGAGATTTTTAAGTAGGACTAAGCAGCACTTTGAGGTTCTTTGATTATGGTTTTTGATCTGATTAAAGAGGGCATCAATATCTTATTTTGATTCCCGAAGACTACCCCAAAGAGACCAATCTAGAAAGTTTATCCCTAAGTCGGCTTGCACTGACTATAGGTCTATTAGCAGTAATTGCAGAAGTCTATGTTAAACTTATACAACCCAAGCTTTGGAATAAACAACTAACATGTGTAATAATGCGTAACTAGCTCATTTGAAAAGGGGTTGTTTTGCACGTTTTCAGGGACATTTGAGATTGTAAACTTGTTTACCGAACAGTGAAATCATGGCAAGAAGTGTTGGAAGCATTTAATAATCGTATACCAGTGGCACTAATCTTTTTCGTGTTTCTTAGCAACACTGTACACTGCATACTCAGTGAACACAAATTGAAAGTTTCTAAAGGTAAGGCGACTTTATTTTGTGTTGGATGCAAAATAAAAGTCATAAGGAATTAAGTTTTATCAGAAGAAACATCTGTGGTGACAGATCTTAACTGTATTTAACCTAAAAACCTAAACCGATTAGTTATCAGTTAGATTGAGTTAGTATAGGCAGAAACATAGCATGATTATAGCACATTAATTATACAATAGCATGATGTTTGAAAATAGTTATTTGTGTAACTAGTGGGTGAAGTGGGACTTTGCTGCACTTTACTGTAGGCGAGTGTGGAAAGTTTCTCGAGTGCAGCAAAGGCAGTTTGCGCTCGTGTTACACATTATATTTTTCCTAGAGTTACTATAAATTATATAAATAATTAGTCTTTCAAACACTGTACAACACGTTATTACGTCAGGCTAAATCCAAACATTGAATGAAATGGGAAACGCTGCACCAGCTGATAGTAGCCTACTCGTTATATCTTTAAACGTTGCCAACCTATTTCCAGGCGTACACGGATTACGTGCATAATAAAAGCACGCTGTTTTGTGTTGTTTGTTTTGAATACTGGTGTGCGGCAAAAAAAAAACGTGCTAGAAAAAAAGTAAGTAAATGCAGCAATTAGCAACTTTCTGTACTATAATTAGGGCAAGCAAGCCCATTTTGTTGGATGACTGTAGGAAAAGTTAATTTACCCATCGCTTTAATACATTTTTGAGTTTAGTCAATAATTCAAATCCTCAGAAAGCATTATAAAACAAATTTTTTTCATGAAGCTATGGTTCTAAACTGCATTTTGGATCGAGTGAGGTCAACTCCTGCAAAGGTCCTATCAAAGAGGCCCTATTGCGTTTGTTTTTACATAAACAATGGATACAGAATAAATATGGACTAAACCCCATTAAAAAGTGTTGAAACCTTAAATCTATTAACTTTTTATCACATTCTCCATGTTAAAATGAGACAGTCTAAAACATAAAAAATACAGCTCTCGTGTTGTATTGGGGGAGTATAGAATGTATTATTTCCCTTCCCTTAAAGCCTATTTTTATTTAAGTGTAACAATTTGCTAATCACACTACCAAACCAACCTTTTATCCAATAATAATTAAATATAGAATCTTCTGTTTTTTTTATTTATTTATTTTTATTGTCCTAGGACGCTAGGGGTGAGCCCGGGATTGTTTTTCACATTACTTCAGGCTAAACCTAGGGGTTGCGGCATTATCACTTGGATAAAATCCATTGGTAACTTGGTGATTTGGCGGGATTTGAACCCATACCTCAGGAACTGAAGTCCTGCGCTCTACCACTACACCAGCTCGCTCCCTCAAAGAATCTTCTGTATTAAAGAATTGATATGATTAATGCAGTTTGTCTATTCAATTAAGCAATTTCAAGATACATCGTCATTAAGTCCCAGCTCTATGTACATCCCATCACTAGTCGTATTTGTAGCTTAATATTTTGTCTACTCATAAGACTGAAACTCTAAAACTGAAAACTGGGACTGATTAATAGTTACATGGTATAACATTGGCTTTCATATGGAATCCTTATAAAACAGCACTAACTTGAGAGGGGGAGCTAGATTTAGTACCCCAACGACATTACCAATATTTATCAAAATAATTTTTATTTGCTCAACATTTTGGAAATCTGTCACAAGTCTTCTTCTAGTTATTGGTAATTTGTTTTCAATATTGTTCTAAGATTATCCCTTAAGCTTAGGGAGCTTACTCTAGCATTCTAAACATGGATGGCTAATCTATACATAATTATAGATGAATTATTTAAGTACAGAATATATTTATAGACTACAATGTATCTTTACCCACTTACTAACTGACCTTGGAATATTTGGTGCCTTGGTCTAGAGCAGCGAAGTTTGGAAAAGATCTTTTGCTTAGTCTATAGTTATACAGGGCGTTTTTTTTTAACTTGCTTCTTTATTTTATGTAACTGCTATTGACGTAGGGGCCCCAATAGTTAAGTTCTTATTCACCCCCTACCCTAAATTTAAAATGTTAACATTGCAAGGTACCCCTTGTGTGCACTAACTAATAGATGTTTTTGGTGTGGTAAAAAATAGAAAAGTTGAATAAATATATATTTTATTTGTTGGTTTTACAGTGGCGATAAATACAACCAATAAGTATTTGCATTTAGTGAAAGTATGTATACTGAATAAGTCTAAATATACAATAAGGTTATCGAGATCCAATGAGACTTTTTTAATAAAAAAAAATGGTCTGCATGAAAAGTTAATAAATTATCTATGGTTGAGGTATACGCATTCCATCACTAAAATGAGACACAATCGTTACAAAATTGCTTGTCCTCTTAAGTAGAAAAAGCTCTTATTACTACTATACAAAAATCAACATTTTCATTTTCTTAACCAATTCAACGATCTTCGGCTACTAAAAAGATACGAAAATGTGTCAGAAATCAATACGTTTCCGTACTAGGCTGGGGTTAGAGTTCGTGGCGGCTTCGATGGCCAGGCATGTGGTTGAAGAAAGGATTCTCCGGGGTCAAGCACAGCTGTTGGGTGACGCACTTGTTGGGAAGTTTCATCGGCAGCACGATGTACTCGTGGTTCTTGATCTTGTTTTCATCCACGATCTCTTCCACCTTCCGGAGACAAGATAGTCCAATTGTCGTACAACTCGAGGACACCCCGAAGATTAGTTGATGGTCCACTCCGTCACAGTCTGTTGGAAAAGAATAACGGTAAAGATTTGGAACAGAAGGGTCATAGTTGTATACATTCAAAGCGAAAAGATATTAAAATATTTAAGGATTATTGCGGATATGTTCTAGAAGTTTATGTGACAATTCAGCATCAGGAATCTACTCCCGTCTTTAAGTTTTAAAGTACAAAATCATTAAGAGATTAGTGCATAAACCCAAAAAAAAACCTGGAAAAAGACGAAAAACCCACCAGTAAACTGTACAGTAAGCAAATAAATAAAAAACAAAAAAAATCTGTACAAATGTTTAGTATTAATTATTAATTAGTATTAGTAATTAGTAGAAGGTGGACCAACACATCGCATAAAATACAAGCAACAATATTTTAAGAGCAGACAAACCATCTATGGTTTATACACTTTTGTAATCATGAAATTTTTTAATCTATTTAAAATGTTTGACAACTGGTTTTAAACTAAGTTTGAACCATCTTCGAGCTGTACATGCATGTTCTACTTTTGGCATCTGAAGAAGGCTGACGAAGCTTATTTCAAATAATTATAAACAGAGAAGATCATTGCGATATTGTATTATAATCACAATATTCAGTTCACCATGTAACTTTATTATAATCTAAAGTTTAGAACACTAGAGATACAAAATTATCAATACCAAAAAGAATTAGGTAGTAATTTAATTAAGTGACAGTTTCTTATGCTCACATATATATAAACAAATAAATACCGGTAAGGGTATTTATATTTCGATGTCATAGTTTGTTTTGGAACAAGAACCATTATCTAATATTCATGTTTTAGATGTATAAAATCACAAGATGTATCGTTGTCCACTGATTACACTTACCTCCATACTCGAAGCACCTATACACGAGGTAAGTGTCACACCCTGCATAGCCAAACACGGTGTCCGTGTAGGTGCAGTAGGGAGCTGTCAGACAACATTTTACACATATTGGTAAGTTAAGTGGGAGAAATGGTAATACTATACCTAAGTGGTAAAACAACACAGTGGTAATTATCAAGTTTGCTGTCTTCATTTAGAATAATTTGTTCTTACCGAAATATAATCCCAAAAATGTCTATAGTTAGTTGCCAATAACATTTATTGAAAATAATTGACAGCGTTTAAAATATATAACATTTACCCATTCTTGTTCTAAAAAATTGTAGATTTTTGACACTAAACAGAATTTGTTATATACTATGTAAACATTTGAGTGGTTTTGTGGATAGTTTAAGAATAGTAATATGCATTACACTGAATGTCGTTTGTTCACTTACAGCCATACTTCGAGACACCTCGCTCGAAAACAGTTCCTATGAAAGATGCAATTTCTAGAGAGCCGTCGCAACTGAAAATGAGAATCATATGTGAATAGATCTAAGTAAAACACTTTTCAAAGAGAAAGAATAACTAGAGACTGTATTTTTGTTGAATAATTAATTACATAAAAAAAATTCAAACATTACATAAGAACAAAATCACAGAAATATTAAACAATGTCCTATAAATGAATAAATAAATTAATAACAATAAATTTCAGTAACAATATCGTTGTAAAAATTGACTCAAGTTAGGACCTTAACCAAACAAAAATTCTTAACACTACAAAACAAAATAAGATTTAATTACAAATTCTTTAGGTGAGTACTTTTTTTACAACAAACTAATCTAAAAAGTGTAGATAAATTATGCTGTTTTAAAGATAAATTAATTTTACACAATATACATATTTTTGTAAATAACTTACTAGACTTTAGCTTCATAGACCTGAAACGTTTCAGGGTCGTCTGGCAGTGGGAAGTAAGTATAGCAAACGTTGTCAAGTACTAAATTTTCCTCAGTCCGTTGTACAAATGTCACAAACAACGGTTGTTCACAGTATGCCTGCAACCATAGTAAGTGGTTATTGAATTAATTAGGGAATATAAAATGAATAAGTATGTTTTGTATGATAAACTCCCACAGCAAATCCTACATTTGGCTAACGATTGAGGAAACCAAATTCAGATAATTTTGATGATGCAAGGTTTCTCAATACTCTATGTCAAAGGAAAAATTTACATTAAACTGGTTTGCGGGTTCATGTTCTGAGTTCCTTGGATACCGTCATAGACATTCCTTTGAGATCTAAGTTGTTCTAGTGACATCTTGTCACCTCGATAGTGAGTTGGTTTTGGCTGAAACGTCGAGACACTAAATTAAGAAGGAAAGGAAAGTGGTTGGCGAAGCTTGCAGTCCCTCCCCTACCCCACTCCTTGATAAACTTGATACATGATAAAATGTACAAAGAAAAACAAAATACTACGCGGTAAGTAAACTTCCGATTTTCTTCAGTCCGTGGATTCCGTAATTAAATTCACTCGGTATATTTTGTCGACGCTAATCACATTAAACTGGCATAGCATTACACAAAAATAGTTCAGGCCAAAATACCACCAACGCCTACAACACATTAAATACATTTCCTTATTATCCTGGAAGTTTCCAACCTGAACCTGGAAGTTTCCTGGAGTTAGTTTCCAGGATTATAAGAAAATGTATTTAATTTATGTTAAATGTATGTTTTAATTTTACGCGTTGTAAAATAAAGCCAGTAATAACCCTTTGAATAACAGACTGGCCAATCTCAAATTAAAAATCGCATTTGACGTAGAATTAATACCAACGAAACGAACAGATCTATATGCGGTCAACCTACATTAGATCAACCTATATTAAGCAATCCTATACCTACAACAATAATAAATTAAGAAATATATTTTTAATAATTGAACAAAATTGTGGCTGAATAGCGTGATAAGAAGGCATGTGTATGATTAGTGGAACAATGATACTTAACCCTCTTTCTTGGTTTCTGCTTTGTGTATCCTTAGTCAATGGTGTAACATAGCTACACCTGTTAGTTACATGACGCAAAGAGAAACAGTCTAAAGAGAGTTACAAGATATTTCTTTATTCATAAGCTACCCATTTCAAGTTATCTTAATCAGGAAGAAAGTCTCTTAAAGTACTGACATCACTATCAATTTTTGGTTCCAAAATCAGCAACGTTTGCTATACTTCAAACGAACCGGTTACTAACAGAGCCCGAATTTTCCATTCAATGTGATTGTTATCTTTTGCAATTTCCTTTCCTCCCTCGTTCCTTTATATCATTGTTGTTGATTGTCATTGAAAGGCCATCAATAGAAACCTGATCTCTGGCCTATAATCGGGGGTGGGTAGAATGAATCTTTCACAAGCATTGGATACTGCTCAATCGAGGTGTGTAGATGTAACTATTTATCTGTTGAAACGGGGAATGTCAGACAACCCGTCACGTTTCAGTAGGGAAAGATTTCAAGCCAACAACTAAATAGCATTGCCTTTGGTAGCAGAAATTCCATCGGCGTAGCCGCTTTTCAATAAACATATCACATAATTAGTGAGCCATTCACAGTCTAAAATCTTTGTTACTTTGATAGTCAATGTGAAATTACTATTTTACAACTTACATCGCACATTCTGGCGGGAACCGACTGCGTTAATTTGCATTCTAAAACTGACTATAGATTTAACATAGGAATGGATTGTACGGTTCTATCCATAGTCAATGGTGTCAGATGGTCAATGAAGGTATGTTTTTTATTTATATTTTTGGCCCCACCTATCCTGGGATGCTAGGTTCTAGCCCAGATCCGTTTTTAAGTTACTTCAGGATAGGACTAGAACATTATTACATTGATAATATCTATTGATGGTTGGCAGGATTTGAATCGGGGACCCGATTCAAATCCTGCCAACCTTCTATACAGCTTGATATCGTATCATGATTTTTTGTCCTAGAACGCTAGGCACGGGCCTGGAATTGTTTTTCACATTACTTCAGGCTAGACCTAAGGTTTGCGGCATTATCACTTAGATAAAATCCATTGCTGATTTAGCGGATTTGAACCCGGAACCTCTTGGACCGAAGTCCTGCGCTCTAACCACTACACTAGCTAGCTCCCCCATCGTATCATGATGCCAATCACAAAAATTGTCAAACTCCATAGCTTCAGGTCAGTTATCCTTGAGCTGCCTAATTGCACTTGTGACCTAACCTACCCAGATTATTTTATCATTGCCATACAATTACCTATCCCTTTATAATTTCAGGGGACTCTTATACAATATTACTTTAAATATTCTTACAGCAGTTTATAAACAATGGTTACGGATTTAACCAATGACATGTCAACAAACATGCTAATTGTATCTAACCACCTCAACATACAGCTCATACATAATTACTCAGCTGTTTAATCCAAGTAGTGTGCAGTAATGCGAATATAAATTGCTTATGAAACAGACTCTGTCAAGAAATTATTGGCTTACCTCAAGCTTAAAGCCTAACAACTAGTAAAACGATTGTTTAGTTTAATTGAACATGTTCGGAATAAATATAAGATTTCTCTTCTGTAACTATTCATTATTAAAGCTCTAGGCCTATTACGAAAATTTTGTTCGCGAGATATAAATAAATAGCAACTATTTTAGTTTGCATTGTTGGTTAAGTAACACTAAACAAGAATAGAGTAGATCAAATACCAGGAAACCTCACTTAAACTTAATTGTTTGTATTTATTAAACAGCTGTTCATTATTCCAGTTGCAGGAAACCCCCATCCCGGTTTCGTGGCGACAGCCCTTACACAAACTAGGACTTCCTCCTCAACTCTTATATCATTTAAAGAAATTGAGTTATTGTGTAGTGTATAATTTTGTAGCCTTAAATTTATTAATAACAACTCAAATAAGCTAGTGTATTAAACATAAACTAATACAACATTCTTTATTCTCTTTTCAATTTATCTTATTGCATGGAATATAATAAGTTATATTTTCTTTTGAGTAATTAAGGCTTAGGCTTGTATCATCGGGGGTATTTTTATGTTTTATTTTAATTCGTAATTTTTATTTTGCACTTTTACTTCTTTAAAATGTAACTTATTGCATTAGGTGCATGTTCTAGCTTTTTGAAAATCTTTGGTAGTGAAGAAAAAACAATATGGTACATTATAGTGGATGGTGGTGAAATGGACATTCATTTGACTACCTTTGAATCACTTGAACTTGGCTTTATCTAAATCTTGTTTAAAGCCGTGTGTAAGCATAACCTTGGTAAAATAATTCTTGTGTAACTTTCTTTGTTTGACCAACATATTCCAATGTAATGTGCCCAAATAATATGTATATATATCCTATCCATATGTCCAATGTAATGTTTTCCAATGTAATGAGCCCAAATAATATGTATATATATCCTATCCATATGTCCAATGTAATGTGTTCCAATGTAATGTGCCCAAATAATATGTATATATATCCTATCCATATGTCCAATGTAATGTGTTCCAATGTAATATGTTTTCTCTCTTTCATAAGAAAGCCAGACAATAGCATGTAAATAAATCACTAAGGTATCTACATCTATTACTAAGGTATATCTAATTTATACCCTGGCATTCGTCAAAATGGTTTAATCAGTCCCATTTCAAATATTAATTTGCATTAGTGCCCAAATACAAAGGTATCAAGATGAAATATCGATAAAGATTTAAACCCATATCACCGTTTATAATTTTCATGTTCCTATGTTTTTTATTTGTCATTTTTGACTGATCTAGATGTGTCTAATGGAAAAGTTAGAACACAACGTAGATATACGTTTATTGGTGCAGTCTAGATCAACTTAACTTCAAAAGCTTAACTGGCAACAAAATTTGAAAATCAGTTAGTGTTCTGTAGGCTATTCTTAATATATTTTTATAGTTTAGCCAAAGCAATCTTAATTCAATTCCTCTCAAGTTGACAAACCTATAATCTACCTGAAGACTTAACCTAAATTAAATGAGTGGGAATACTTACATTATTGACTGTGAAGTCAATCGCGTTGATGTTTCTTCTGCAATGCCTGTTGTTCCTCTTGTAGGCTAGGGCCGTCGCTGCCAAAACGAGCAGAAGGAACACGGCACGAGTCATCTCACACCATTCACTGAATTCAGACCAAAGAACAACTTAATATCATCAAGAGGAGAATTACGGTTAATTGCTGTGGAAAAGCCACATTGAAAAACTACGTTGTTTACGTCAATATGAAATAAAGAGCCATTTAAGTCATGAAAGGTGTTTTTGGATATATTAAGACCTTAAGCACTAATAGTTTTACGTAATTAAACTTTGATCAAAACACAACACCAGGAACACTCTACACCCCGTTAAGGTATAAAATCAGTATAAAACACGAATATTTCAAACATCGTAAAATGTATAACATTTCATATTTATTTTTGTAGTAGGCATAACTCAAATATGAAATGTATTAATCAAAACTTGGCATCAATCAATCGTTAAAACGTTTTCCAATGTTTACTAACTCGTGTGAATTTGTTTACATCCTTTTATAGAAGCTCCATAGCTTTAAGCTATATCGATGATGTTGCACAACAAATTCAAACCCCAACCCAACATGCTACTATGACACAAGAAACACACACTACTAATGACAATTGACACATGAAATATAGATTAAATAAATACCTAAACACTAATTAAATCAGATTTCACGCTGAAAAGGTAAGAAAATGAATCTGAAGTGGTTGTTATCGCTTCCATCTCACGGTCGTAAATTGATGCGATCCCAAGGCAAATATTTAATGAAAGCGGGTGCTAACGTAGGTTCATTTTACGTGCAAGAACACTCAAGACTTCATATTTCTTTGCAGGAATGAACTATTTAGGTCAAACTCTACGTGAAACTGTTTTAATTATAAATATAGTTCTATTAATATAAAAATACATTATTTGATACATATTCATGCTCTAATATTGTTTTAAGAGTTTTGATTTCCTAAAACTGTTTAGGTGAAACGTTCTAAAAAGTAAAATATGCCAATGCAATATAGACGAATTATTGTTGTGGATATGCCTATTGTATATGAAAATTAAGAAAATAAGTACAGAAGTTCTAAAAATGTATAAAAAGTGTGTGCCTTTCTTACATTATTACAGAAAATTGTTTAATATCAATAAATTTTACTGGAATTAGAATACAATTGATTTAACATCGTTGTACAGTACTAAGTATTTGTAATGTAAATATTTAAAATTTGTTGGATTGATTTTTGAGAATTGGTTGTTTTTTGAGTTAATGCAATTTGGTTACAAATTTTTTTCTATAATTTATTCTCACAAATATTTTACTATCCTCAATACTTCACCTAAAGCAAAATATAAACCAATGGCTCACACCAAATACATTATTTAGGAATTTATTCCTACTGTCCCTTTTTCCAGAAATCATCTTGTCCCTATAAATATTGAATATTGTTACATTTAAGTAGAAAACTCAGATAAAATAAAAAATCTAGCTTTTGAAAGTTCATAAATTTTTTTACACCACTTCAATTCCTTTAACATAATTTATCAGGCCTAAGCCTTTGCATTTTATTGTTGCTTTTTTCGTGAAGCTATGCAATAATTAATTCATTGACCACAAATTAAAACCTCCAGCCTTTTAAATTGTTCAATTGTAATTTTAGACGAAGATACTGTTAAATGGACCAATATTTTCTACAAACAAGACAGATAGGAAGGTTAATTTACAGGTTGGTAAAAAAAAAACAGATATGTGTTTATGTATATAGTTTTCTCAGTGGTATGTCGTTTATGGTTTAGGACCGTATTTCTTGAAATTTGAACCAGCTGATAACGTTCCAACAGATTTAGGTAAGATCAAAGTAAGTAGGTAAGATCAAAGTAAGTCAAAGGTAAGTTAAATATTAACTGTTGTGTTTACACTTTGACATAAATGAATAGCCAATCAGTCCTGTATGGTGTGTAGTGAAGATTAAACGCGGGCGTCCGAAAACACTTCAAAATAATTTTAGGAAAATAAATGATAATACCCTTTATTTAGAGGTTAAGTAATAACATAAACTAGTATACATGTTGCTCGAATTCGAGCAATTGCTAAGTATTACAGGCGTTATTTTAAAACGAATAACAGTAATAATTTTCTGATGACTGAAAGAATAGATTCAAAGATTATGGAAATACTCAAGATGTACATAACATATCGATATAATCAACATTTCTTGTAAATATCTTAACATTTTTCAAAAGCTTGTCTTGTTTTTTAGTGTTTTCTACAACCTTACTCATAACCGCATTAGGTTGTCCATAAAACGATAATAAAAAAAAACATTATTTGTATTTATTCTCATAGTTTGCAAATCGGCTCTTTCAATGATTGCTAAGAAATGCAGCACAGTGTTAATTCAGTTTTCTTTTTAGTATATCAATTTATCCAGACTCTCTCCCTTTTATCCATTGTAATATTTACGCCAAAACAAATTCAAATCATGATGGAAGGAAACCATGAATTCAAATAGTAAGTATTTCATTTCAACCAAGTCAGTAAATGTTTGTAACAGACTGTTAAATTAGCAAACTTATTGACAGTTTACAATAATTAACATGTTCTTCTTCTCACTTTTAATTTCTGACGACAGCTGGAGTGTCATAACAATATTTGTTTCCCATGTTAATCTTATGGAGAAATACGAAACTTTAAAGGGACCCAGGGCCTCACTCTCTTATTATTTCCCTAAACAGAAAGTTTCCTGCACAACTTCACGTTACGCTCTTTCCAATGACACCAAAAACATGTCAATCGGCTCAGTAGTTTCGGAGGAGTAATTGTCACAAAAAACCTGCTTGCGTATTAAATAAGTATAGATGTTTAAGCAACTAGATAAATAAGATTATTCAAGATAGTTCAACTGCTTATTTAATGTTGATTATGAATGGAATGTGATACAACAATTTTGGAAATAAATAATAACGAAATTAAATTTACAAAATAAATGGGACTCTACTATGTCAACACTTGTTAAGTTCCCCAATAAATAAACAACGCTAATATGAAATGCTTTTCAACTGACAAGTTATCATTAGTTTAAAACGCAGAAAAACATTCCCGGAAAATGTCCTGTACCCCGAGGCATTTTTCCATGACTGCCCAAATAAAAATGTCAGCTGTTTTTCAGCTGGGACAGAGCCTTCCGTATTTTGTGGTTTGCCAATAGTTATTTTTTAGCACATATGTTCCTTTTTCTCAATAACAGCTAAAGATATCGATTTGAATTTTTTCGTGCTTATAAAAGTTGCCTAGATTCATAATTGGAATGAATAAAAACGTCACAATTACCAACAGTAAAAATAAAAATATTAAACATTTTTATTTAAAATTTTAAAGATATGTTTTTGGAGGAAATAAAAAAATTCCAAATAACTGAAAAGGTTATTTTTTTACATTCCAAATGTGCAGAAAGGATAGATCTGTCATAAAAAAACAGGAGTCAGCTATTTTTAATATTATTTAATAAAAAAGGTACATATGTTAATATGGATGAGGATAGGGCGCACCAACCCCCTTAAAATCTACTAATTTAGTATGCTGAAGATTTTTTGGTACGAATAATAGATACAGAAAAATCTAAAATAATTTAAACAGTTTGATGTTATTTTTATAGAATGTAAATAAACTTAAAAATCCAACTAGGCATTTGGAAGCTTGCTTAGTTTGCCGGTTTGCTGTGGCGGGGGTGTTTTTCATATAAAAATAAAGTATAAAGTGCTATGAACAATGCATGTTGTAACTAACATACTAGATAGCCTACAACGCATTGACAGACATACTCTGGACACAGAAAATAGTGGTTTTCTGCTTGTGTAGATGATAAAAACTTGTTGTTTAGTACACATTTTAATATTCTACAACTACACAGTGCAATTTTCTAAAATTATGAAAATCAATCAATAAACAAGCAATCAATGTATCAAGAGATACCACTTTTTGAAGTACAATTTAGTGTTGTTAAGCTATGTGATTTAAGAGATTACTGATTATGTTTTCCATTCAACGTTTTAAGTCATCAACACAAACTTTGGCTTAATATTTAAGCTTAATAAAAATAATGTAGTGAGATGATCTGTGTAGCTTTGTTACTGAACAAAACTTACTATTTCTTAGCTAGGGTCCTTTAAAAGGCCAATGATAAAAGACAGCTCAGCTTGGTTTCGAACCGACGACCTTTTGATCAGTAGGCAAGAATCTACCCAGCTATGTAATAAACTAAAATGTGTATCTACAAATTACTAAATAGGTTATTGATGGTTATATACTATAGAGTTTTATCTTTATTAAAAAATGAACCGTGACTAGCTTTGGCTAGATTTGTGTCTAAATTTTGTTAGGTTCTAGGAAATTTCTCATCTGAGAACGGAGTGTGATTACAAATCTCAAAACGACGTTTCTTTCTAATTGAGGTGGAAAACGTGCTTATTAATCTCTTTAATAATAGACATAGGATAATATATTGAATTAGTTATAATAAAGACAACACGGGAGACAACGTTTTGATTTTAGCACTTTCAATCATCAGAGTAACGAATATGAGTCAAATAAATATGTGACATACGGATACATTTTCATTTGCAACTTAAGTTAAGTATATATTTCAACTATATATTTGTACTGGAATTTCCTCAAATGAGTTCACTTTCAAATTGCACTTCTGTAGTGTCCCGCCTACCACTAAACTTTGTTGTTCGTGTGATTTTTGTCCTAGGACGCTTGGCACGAGCCCGAGATTGTTTTTCACATTACTTCAGGCCTAGGGGTTGCGGCATTATAACTTAGATAAAATCCATTGGTGATTTGGCGGGATTTGAACCCGGGAACTCAGGGACCGAAGTCCCACGATCTAATTACTACACCAGCTCGCTCCCCAGTAGGCCGTGTGATGATATCTCAATATTAGTGCAAAGATATTGTAACACTGTTTTCATTGGTCATCCCATAATTATCAAGTGGCCAATGGTAAAAGTGGTCTAATATTTACGTTCATCAAGGAACGATATTGCTACAGCTCATGGGGGTCCACAATACCAGGGGGATGAAAACCTGTATTTTAGATTAGCCAGCATTAAAAAACATTTGCTTAAGTACATTGATCATAATAAATATAAAATTAATTATTCCCAAAAAAAATTTAAACCATAAACCATATTAATTTTTTTTTTTATATTATGTTTACGTTTGATTCAGAATAGAAACCGATTGATAATTTTCTGGGTTTGTAATAATCTTGTGATAAGCTCAGAAAGGGAAGCGGACCTTCACAAAATATCATTAAATAGGGTGGTTTATATGGGGTTGTGAATGAAAGTGGAGTATATTTTAACGACCACTATTACAATTTAACTTCATTTTAAAATGTTATTTTTGCCACACTACATTGTTTTAATAGACTTTCCACGCATGAAATCAGTCCAGAAAACAGCTGTTTGCAACCTGCTTATGGGTTTCATTACATTCCACTGTACTGCAATGGATTTTTACCGGACACCAGTCTGATTATAATTGGCAATAAGTCAACGAATCAATAAACGAAAACATAACGTTAGAAGTTGTGAGTAGTGTTTGTTACTGAAAATATTTGATCGTAATCTGGACTATCCAATAGATTGGTATTTAGCGGAGATTCCGTAAATGTACGAAGGCTTCCGTAGTTAAGTCCCTTTAGTCAGTGGAAATATAACAGATTTGTTCAGTTTTTTTATTGTTAGGTTAGTTTTGAGAAGCATGGCGAAAAATATCGGAAGTTACTCGTCCAAAATGTGTTCGTACTCGTATGGTAAACACCTATCTTCTGGACTAGTGACGTAATATACTTAAAAAAACTAACATGATTTAAAATTGCATTAAAAATTAAATGCCAAATTTGGCAAACCCCTTCGCTTGAATTAACTCTAATATTGGAACATTCCTATTTTGTGATGAGTATGATATTTGAAACGGTTTGATAATTTATGTCCATTTAGGACTACAAAATTAAGATCATACATCTTCATACAAAATAAAACACCGTAAATATGGGGCTTTAGCCTTTAAATATTAATGTGTTTTGAGGGAAAGGGACTGAAATCAAAATTTCTTCTGTACAAACACAGCTATAATACTACGTAACTTACTTAGAAGTGTCACTTCTATAGGCAAGATTAGCTAGTTCTTTCTCTAGATTAGTGATCAATGAAAACAGAGAAGTTATTTAAAAATAACATTTATATGTAAAAGGATTTATTAATTACAAAATTGTTAAATATTATATCTTTATTTTGTACAAAAAATAGTATTCATTTAAAACCCAAATAGGAACGTGATTAGGTTCATCTGTACACTCCAATAGGTCCCGTAAAGCCGAGGGCCTTGTAGAACTGGTTGCCGGCGGTGGGGTTGAGGCAGTTCTGTTGAGTCACACATCTGTTAGGCAGCTTCATGGGCAGAACGTAGTACTCAAGGTCCGGCAGACAGTTGTCGGACACAATCTCCTCAACCTTCCTCAGACATGACAATCCAATGGATCGGCATTGAGCGGAGATTCCGTAAATGCAAGGAGAGCTTCCGTAGTTGTTGCAGTCTAGGGAGAAATGGGAGAGAGGTTAGAATTGCTTCAATACTTTACAGAAAGTTGGTAAACAAATGTGGTGCTGTGAGAATATGGGACGACATAGGACACTACGGCAGACAAGTTAGGTTAGGTTTCCTGCATTTGGAATACCTACCGTAAAATAACCTATCCATACAGCACACTGCAGCAGTAAAGTTTGGTCAGGTTTCCTGCGTTGGAACACCTACTGTAAACTAACCTACCCATAAAGTTCACTGCAGCAGAAAAGTTTGGTCAGGTTTCCTGCGTTGGAACACCTACCGTAAACTAATCTAATCATACAGCACAGTTACCTCGCATGCCACTACCTGAGTTAACCAAATCGATTAAATAGGTTAAAACCATGGCTAGTAACAAGAACAAAAAGAATCCATACACCCTGTCCAATATTATAATCTCATTACCTTGATCAGATATTTATAAAAAAGTTAAACTATTTTATTTAGTAATATTGGTTCTCAAAAACATTGTTATTGTATTCAATGTGTTTAAATTAAAAATAGTTAACGTGAAGTTCGTTTGATTTACCTCACCACTACCAAAGATTCAACATTTATGGATATTACTTTGCCTACATATTTTGGACCTATCAAAACCTAATCATGCCCAACTGTTTATCACATAGTATCCATTTCTTATTCAGCATAACCTGGACTGATTTAGTTGATTTTTCGTTAAAAAAGGTCCTTTATTGTAATTCCTTACAACATATCAACCCGCTTGTGATAGATAATCGTTTAGTAAATAAAATTATATAATACAAACCAAACAAAGTAAACTATTGAAACTATTGATGAAAGAGTTTTGTTGGTTCATCATCTATCAACTAATCTTATATATGTTATATACTTACTTCCAAAGTTGTTACAGCTGTAGACGAGGTAAGTATCACAGCCAGCATATCCGAAGTAAATTTCAGATGATGTGCAGTAAGGGTCTGAAACATTTTTTAGTAACTTTTTACAGTGATGAATACAATCAATAATAAAAACCGTCCTTTTGGATTTAAGACTTTTAGAGTAGTTTTTTGGAGGGGTTAAACGGCTTTTGTTCAATAGTAACATATATTCCAGTTATTCATTTTCGTTGAGCTTTTTAAAGTCTATACATTTTTAGCACTTAGTCAGTTCCATCAATAATATTGTTGAAAAGGTAGTGGATAATATGGTTGTTTTTGAAGTTTTCACAAATTAAAAGGCAATTGCAGCAACATTCAATTAAATCAAAAGGAAAATTAAACAGCATTTATGCAGGAAAGTGATTTTAAAGTTTAAACAACAAAGTAATGTTTTGATAGTAAGCAGATACTACACAAACATTCTTGTTAGTATATTCTTTAATTGTATAAGTGGGATTATATATTTTATTTCAATTTTTTTCAGATAACTTGCTCACCATAATATGTTATTTTTGGATTAAATGTCGTGGATACAATATAGGTACTTAGTATTAATTTGAAACTCTTTTGTAACAATAAAGTACCCAGCTTAAAACTACTTACAAGCTCCAAATATCTATAGTATTGATGGTATAATTACTTCATTGAAGCTAAAGCGATAGGCTTATAAACTTATCCACCTTATCAATACTCACTTGCGTATCTTTGAACACCCAAGTCGAATTGGGTACCGATGAAAGACACGACGTCGCTAGATCCGTCACAGCTAAAACATAATTTAGTGTTAAACTATCAGTTTCATTTGGTCATAGGAAATAGTTATTTCTATTCATACATCCTCATTAATAATTAGGTTAGCTGTGCAACGCGTTTGATTAGAAAAGACCTTCTGATGTAAATAGTTTATATATTTAATGTATTATGGATATTGGTTTATAATTAATCGGGCCAGTTTTGATCACTTCATCACCTGTGATTGCATACTATGTATTGTCATTTCAGTTAAACTTGCTATACAATTTCTTACGTGTTTGTTCGTTTATATGCATTATACAAATTAAAGAATATAGATACTCTTATTAGAAAATTACAATAGATATATGGATTTATTAAAAAGGTTTCATTTTCCCTAAACATTCTTACACACTTAAGGTCGCTTTGTGAGAATCATTAAACCCAGACATATTAATGTAATATTGGTGGTTGCAAGAACCAGGGGAGTGTCTGCAGACCTAAAGGTCATGTTCCTTCTATTAGATTATCCACCCCTTACCCTGGACTACTTCTAAAATAGGGTTTGATAATGCGTGACTGATTAATTAATACAAAACTATATGTTTATAAAGTTGAACAAATGAACCTGCCTCTTTTAATGCATTACAATGATTCAGTGGGACTGCTTTGCTTTGTATCCTTATTTGCTTGCCTTTTCAGCATCATAAGTTATTTCCTATGGCTTTAATGGAAATTGCTTTTTGTGACTTAATCAAGTAAGTACTTAACAAATTACACTTACAACACCCTTGATTCGTAGATCTGGAAGGTGTTAGGATCATCAGGAAGTGGGAAATAAGTGTAGCAAATGTTGTCAAGTAATGTGTTTTCTTCCGTCTTCGGGACGAAGGTTACGAACAGTGGTTGATCACAGTAGTTCTAAAATATGCAAAACAAAATTGTGTAACCACATTGCTCACTTAAGGAACCCACTTGTCATGTAATATTAAGTACACTTTAATACTTACTGTCTAAATTGCAATAAAAATATTGTGGTAAGTTGTATATGATTGGAGCTTGGTTGATGTTCAGAGATTAACATTTCAGTGTTAGGTTTTCTCTAAAATAGTGTTTTTTTGGCGCCATAGATTTTTTTATTTTTTGTAACGTTATGTTTTATTGCGTTATGAAACAGTGTTTTCACTTACACACTCCGCATATAGTTATAAAAGTTTGTTTCTTGTATGTTACAGATGTACATCCTATTAAAATACGGAACTAAATTTGCTGTGAGGGTTTTGTTTGATTTAAGAGCCCATAAAGTAGTAACGATTTCTTACTACATTTTAGAACAATATAATATTGGCTTTATTATAGAACATAAAATACACAGTTTTTTATTTAACGCTTAAATAAATTCAAATTGAAATAAAACAGAAAAATGCTAACTTTTGTTTTATCAGATCGTAAACATGTGTTCGTGGAGCCCGCAGTTTCAGTTGTCAAATTAATCCTATCAGCCTCAAATCAAGGGATAGGATCCGACTTTTCTAGGGATCTTGATTCATCAGCAATGTTGAAGATATGTTAAATTTGTACACAGAGGCAATTTAGTTCGGGGGAGTTCAATACTCCTGATGTACGTTTAGGGCTTGTGAACTTGTGGATGTACTACGTAAGATAAAGTAGTTGGGAAAACGCTTAACCTTTAAACACAAGTTCATTTAACTGAGAAATAACTGATAAAAACGCTTCTCATACTGCCAATAATTGTAGTTAAATAATAATCGAAGTTTGATAATAATTAATAAATCAAATAGAAAGTATTATCGTATGCTTTCAAAAGAATTTGAATGTGTCCACCTTGTACGGTTAGGCCAAGGCTCCACTAGAAAAACAGTCCATGCTGCAGGATCCATGACGTCACACTAGTGGATAAATTCATTGTCATTGCCATTCCCATATGTTTTAGGTAAATAAGCAAGCTGGCTGTTTGTGAGATTTTAATGGTGAGAGTTTAGTACAGTACAACTATCCACCACTGTGACGTAGTGCTGTGCTGCCCGCGCTGCACATGGCATGTTTTTTTTTGTTGGGGCCTTGGTTAGGCACAGAGGTAGTTAAAAGTTGATAGAGTTCAAAGGGTCTGGGCTGGTAAAAATAACCAATCAACAAATTGTTAATGAAATACATAAGCTGAACCATACTTCTCTGATGCTGCGATCGATGGTGTCGACGCTGAGGCAGCCACTGCGGTTGCCGCTGTAAGTACCTCTTTTGGCCAAGGCACACCCAGCCACCACTACCAACAGCGCTAACACTCGAACCATCACTTGCTGGAACCTACCTACAAACAACACTCTCAGATAAAAGAGAGTTCCAGTGGTTTTGTACGGTTGGGATCTTTGTTCTGAAATATTATATGAACAGATGACAAGGTACGTGTAAGTCTAGATAACACTGGCCGTAAGGAAATCACATAATTTACCAAAAGGGAAACCTTAAACGCTCATGGTTTTGTTAATAGTTTTATTGTTTCAATGAATTCTCAACTTTCATGTACATCCTCTTTTGACACATGAGATTTGTCATAATTATCAGATTTTTCTTTGGATCTTAAAACCAATTTATCCACTTATTAGATGAATTCGAGTTGTAATTTCGAACGTAAATAACTTCAAAGAACACAGCTGAAACGGGATTCTAGAATCCAGGATCTAATCAGCAAATGATGATATCTAATCAGCATATATTTCCTTATTTGAGTCAACTTGTTTTGAACTTGTCATAGTCGAACGAGTTTAAAAACTAGACCAATGTAAACACAACTATAGGACTGTCTCTGTTATTTTTAGTACTATGACCCTTTATTGTGTTGGTAGTTGGGCGTTTAAATTTTCTTTACCGATCGGTTGCTAGGAATGTCAAAGATCCTTAGATTTACAACTATCGTTATATTAAATATTTTACAGCGAAGTAAGAGAATACTGATTCCAAACTTCGTTTGCTCATTGATAAACAAAATATTCATTTTAATGTGGTCCAATCGCAAACTTTTTAAAAATTTCCCAGTATACGTTTAACACTGAATAGGCCTACTACAAGCTGTATCTTTCGGTTAAAGTAAAATACATTCAAACTTCTTGCTAGCTGATATGGGTAAAATTAAACGTTGTATAGTAAATTGTTTGCCCCCTAACACGTAATGGTAGGGAAGTAACTTTGTTAAAGCCGTTTAAAATCAAAGGGAATGTTGGCAAAATCAATTTAATTTAGTTAACTTATTTTTGTTTTATTTAAAAAGTGTTATTTTCGTGTCACGATACGGTCCCGTTTCTTTCTCCGTTTACTATGAAGTTAATTAGCGATTGACATACTCATACTTAAAATGTAGTTAGGGCCAAATCATAGTTTTGTGTTATTATAATTTTTGTAGAATAACATTAACAGGCAGCTTTTAAAATATCAGATAGGTTATATATTGAATACAGTAAAAAGAAAGTAAAAGGTTTTTTAAAAGAAGAGCCTATTAGATGAACACTTAAGTATTCATTTTCACCTTAAGATTGATATTCTCTAGGTTATTTCTAGGCTTATAACCACAAACAATCAACTATAATCTGGTCATTAACAGTCACATTATAGCCATTTATACGAGTAATATTTCAGAAAATCAAAGGAGGTTTCGACGACAGTTCAAAGTTGATTTAACATCCGATTGTTTAAATTGTAAAATAATCTATACAATATATATCTACATAATGGTAGTGATGTTTTGTTGATGGTCTTTTGTTATGGTTGTTGTATTGGAAACGGTGTCTAAAAAGTTTTAAAATTAGTTTATATAGGCCTACATTATGTATTATTAAAAAAGTTGATAGATAAATAGTAGATTATTATTAAAATATTATATTGATATCAGAGCATTTTGTTAAGGAAAAATATAAATCTCAATAAACACTGGAGAATCATGCAGCTGACCGATTTGTATTTAACATTTCAAACAAGACCTACTTTGCATTGTTTGAAGTAAAAACTTTATCAAGTTAAATGTTTTTCTAAATTAAATGATTTATATTACCTGTCCGTCAGTGATCCTATTGTCATCGTAGGCGACCGGTTTCGGGATTAAAATCCCATCATCAGGCGGTTAAATATTTCATTTCACTCAAATTGAGGTCGTCGGTAAACACAAAAACTCGCATATGTTTTGTACTAATATTGGTAACTGGCCAGAACAGGACACTACAACGCGGCACGAGTAGATGCGTGGTCATGACTGACTTATTTACTTATGAGCGTGTTTTTGTGTTTACTGGCGATCTTAATTTGAGTGAAATGACATTTTTAACTGCCTGATGATGGGATTTTAATCCTCAAACCGGTCGCCTAAGACGACAATAGGATAACTGACGGACAAATAGTATAAACCATTTAATTCAATAAGTGATCCTGGACCACTAAGCATAATGTTTTTCTAATCACTTGGTAAATTGTTCGTAAAGAATTAACATGAACTATCAGTATACTAATGTTCGAGTCGGGGTCCAAAGGGTTTAAACCAATCTAAACTCTACTAAACAAAGTATAATGGTGACAATATATTCTGAAATATAGATGAAATACAGGGTGACACAAAGGAACCGGACGTTTTTTAAATAAGTAGTACACAGTAGTTAAAAGGAATAAACTGGATTTAATACTGTACATAGTGAGGTAAACATTTGCCATTTGTTATAAAACCGTCATTATTTGAAAATGACGTCATGCAAATGGCGGCCATGTACTTATCTACAAATGTTCATTCTGGTCTGAAAATCATCTGAAACTCGGGTCAGGAGGTTCAATGCCTTTTGATATCTTCTATGATTGCAAACTTCAAATCCCCTAGAGTAGTTTGTGAGCATGAACACGCTCCTTAAGAAACCCCCAAAGGATATAATCACTAGTGGACAAGCCGGGTGATCTTGGCGGCCACGGCATGTCACCAAAGCGAGAAATCACCTTAGGAAACATTCATTCAATACTGCTCTCTTTCTGGCAATGTTTTCGGGTGTTCTCGAAGTTCTGACAAGGCCTGGTGGTTTCTTTCTTGTTATATTCCCAGTTGTTCGGAACCCTGAAACCCATCTTAATAGCGTATTTCAACTTGGAACCGTTCCATGGCGTTCAATATTAAAATGTCGACTAAATTCCCGCTGGATTTGACGACGGATTCACCATTTCGGACCAAAGTGTCGTATGCGAAAACGCGATGGTCTATGGTCCACTGAGCCACTTCAACAAAAATGGCAAGCCTTACTGAAGGTAATGACATAACTTCAATCTTCCTATCACGTGCAACCACAATGGAACAGCTGTTTAAAAAACGTCCGGTTCCTTTGTGTCACCCTGTATATTCGGATTTGACAAAACAAGTAGTCATAAGAACTGTAGTTTAGAATGTCATGGTAGTGCTTATCTGATAGCTAAAATAGCATCTCAAAGCTACCTTAAGCTGGATAAAGGTGTCATGACAAAACTATGATTGGAGGAACCTTTAAAAATCCTTTCAAAAATTCTTGAACGTACCAAAACCCGTTGAGGAATTTTGTTTGAACTACTTGAACAAAAATGTTGAGTAAACAGTTTTTTTTGGTTTTTTTTTTGCTAAAATTAGATTGGATATTATAAAGGTCGCGAAGGGTCGTGGACTCGATATTAATTCTAAGACCTGCTCCCGATTGTATTCAATGATTCTCACCTAATAATTGTTACTGCTTGGCACTTGCAGGGACGTGGTCCCGATTGTAATATTTGTAAATATGGATGGATAAACCGATTTTAATTTCGTTTCCTTTTCCGTTCCTACATCAATTGACTAGCTGGTAAAGCTATCAAGAGATAGCATAGTAATCATTAAAATATGAAACTTATACAAACGTCCGTAACGTATACTTTGGCACAAAAGATGATCATTTTTTAGTTTTCCTTTGTTAAAAAAGGTTTACATTGTGAAATGCTGACTCATCCAAATAAGTTTTATTTCGGGTTGTTATAGTTTCCGACGATGGTCATCCCTGTTTTCCATAGTGACAATGTGCATAACCTAGCCCAAAATCTGTGTGTGTACCTTAACAGATGGTTGGGCTATTGGTTAGAAACATTGAACATTGTGTTTCTCTTTAATCACATTCACGGAGACTTTCCAAAGTCACTTCCTGAACATCATGATGCAAAACTGAATGCAACATTAGTATAAAAAACTAAAATCTTCTCCAGAAACCATTACTTATCATGGAATAGTAACATTTTCACCCTATCAGTCTCACATAATTTGACTTTGTATATAATTTGTGTAAGGCAGCATGAAATAACTAGGATAAGGTTATTGTTATGATATACAGTACTTAAATTGAAATTAAGGTTGTGCGATGCACCTGTAGGGTGCGAGCAAGTTTTTGCACAACATATATTTATTTCTTGCTGTGTACCAATTTAACATAGTAGCCACAAAAGTTAATGTGGAAATGTTTAATCGTCACCAATGAAAGGCCAATGAGAGGCATTTGTAGTCTAATCCTAAAAATCGGTGTACCACGATAATGACAACTTAATAAAACAGAACAGTATTTGTTATCGTTTAAACAAAGTTCAAAGTACTATTATAATACAGTGTGTAAATTAAGTATTGAAACAAATCTGTATTTTTAAAACCGAAATAGATAGAAATATTCTGTTTGTGGAAATAATTGTTAACAAACTTTCCGCAATTTTTTACAACAAAATATTTTTTACCCCCCTAACAGGGTAGGGGGTAGGGGGTGACTCATTTTTTCAAATAGGAACCCCTATTGAGTGACCCCTTATTTTGAAGGACTTGTCAAAAGAAATACAATGACGCAAATCCGAGGTGGAATCTCACCCCTTAATAGCGGTTGCTATTTGAAAAAAAAGTCACCCCCTACCCCCTACGCTGTTAGGGGGGTAAAAAATATTTTTGATGTAAAAATTGTGGAGCCTTTGTTAACAATTATTGCCACAAACAGAATATTTATATATATTTCGGCTTTAAAAATAGAGATTTGTTTCAATACTTAATTTACACACTGTATAAAACTAACAGAAAGTAAATAAAAGAAACGTCCTATAACACTTAAAACATATATTTACGCGTATACTGTTACTCACAAGACGGTAAATATACAAAAAAGACGGTAAGTGGTAAAAAAACTAAGGTGCTGGTGGAGGATAAAACTACACTTGTTTTGCAGTGCAGTAACAAAATAAAAACAAGGTTGGAAAGCATGATTCCGCAAGTGTAATGTAGAAGTATATATTAAATAATCCCAACAAACATGTTCAAATGTATGTGTACTTTAAATGATTTCATACGATAGAATGTTATATACATTGTTATTTGCATAGTAAACAATTCTGAATAATCTTTTGACGTTTAACTCCCAAACATTTGTCAAATATGTTATTAATTTAGTTTGCATCTATTAAGTTTAGTTTTCATTATGTTTTACCTTTGAAATGCAAACGAACAGTTTAATTAATAAAGAAATTCAATAAAGGAACAATGAAGTAATTATGGGTAAACATATTTATTTAACTATTTATCTAGCTAGACCTATTTAGAATATATTAAATGCTAGCAAATATTTCTTAATAATTCAGTTTTCATGAACAAACAGGTCGGTGACGCTTGCTTGGAAGTGTAATTAAAGGTTTTGTTTTGTTTTACAGCAACGCAATGCTAAATCCATACAAAATTAATAATACATTTTGCCATGCGTTTTATATTTTATTTCAAAGAGTGTACTAAGAATTCGTAACCATTTTAATAAATTAAAAATGAATAATGAGATCGACTAGGAACAATTAATATTCATTCTATAAGATATCCGTATAACATTAATCGGATTGATTAAGATATTCTTACATACAACTAAATTGATTTTCTCAAATATATAAGCAGCACGAATTTTTTAACGGACGACGCGTTTTATCTTATGAATTTCTTGGCTAGCCACCATTGAAAATAGGAACACAAGTACCAATATACTAATAGAGCAGCGTTTGTAAAATCTAGGCAATATAAAATGCGTTATATTAAACATCTATAAAACTATGTTAGAAGTTTTTTTATGGAATTTGCAAGGCCATCTCTTACTACCACCACAATGTAAACCAAAAAGGAACAACGGAAAAGGTTTTGCTCCGTTTGGTAACCATTGTTTATATAATTTTAGTTTTAATTTAAATATACTAATAGAAATTTATAGTTCAGCGATTTTCATAAGCCGTACCAAATATAGTATGTTCAAATTTTTATTGTTATTTAGTGGTCTTGCAATTAAATTTGTCATAAAATAACTCGCTTGGACCGATATAACCTTTTTTGAATAGTTAAATCACTGTATCGAATGAATTTTAATTTGCTTATTTAGTCGAAGAGATTTGACGCATCCAATGTACATATTGCCATTTCAATAGGTGTATAAATAAAAACTCAGATCAAACCTAACCTCAAAATGCGTAATTTAAATTTAATTCTTCCGTAAAAACCAATAGCTATAGATTAAGCTTACTGTTAAAGCCATATCCTCTGTTTCGATTAATATTATATTACAAGATTTATAATTATTTTCAATCAAATACATATAATAAATGCATAAAATAATCTAAAAATACTTACAGTTTTAAGAAAATAAGTCCCTAAGGCAAGTGCGATGCAACCTAACTCAGAACAAACCCCTGCTATCAGTGTTTACCTCTTTTATACGGGGCATAAATTATATAAATGAAGTACTGATTATTTTGTTTGCTTTATCTTTGGCGTATATTTGCTGTAAAGGAACTGTAGAAGAATACTTGGGTACTCTATGAAGCTAGGAATATCGTCCATAAAATAAATTCTGAGAAACACAAACATTGTTTGGAAAAGGTGTTTAGTGTGGTCAGTTCAAGCCATGCAAGTCTTATGGGGTGTAATATGAGTAGATGGGCTATATTGGACTAATTTATAATGGCACAAAGAGTAAATTTAAAGTTAGAGTGCAATATTTAAATCCACTGCTAGGTAAAATTTAGTTGGGCCATTCAAAAACATAATTAAAGAGGATTGATTTATATACGACGTTTCACGATAAAGCCATACAGCTTTTATCATAGAATGGTAAAATAATTTCATTTATAATTATTGAGTTCCAGCTAGTTTGAAGAAAAAAAAACTAGTATAAATATTACCAAATTACCTGAACAATTTTGAATACGATGTACATTAACAGGTTTGAATGATAAAAACTTAAATAAAAGTGCCTATGATAGTGAAAACATGTAAACAGTTACTACGGCCAGCATTCTGACTGGTTTAAAAGCCATTATTTCTTGAAAATGTCGCTATACCGCCAAATCTTTAGTAGCATTATCGGCTTCCCTTGAATAAATAAGTAAAGACATTTCTTTTGGTAATTCTTGAAAAAGTGGAAGCTGTCCCAGAGATTGGAAGGTAATGCAAATTTGTCGTTTTAGTCACAGGATCTTTGATTGGCCTGATTAAATCTAATGTTTGAAATTTTATCGCTTTTGGATTTTTACGGATCACACAGTATTAGAGTCTCAACTCGTCATAATAGTAATGATTGTTTATTTAATAACAAAATAAAAGTACTATTTTGTTAATTGATCTAAATTTATTCAATACAATACTAATATGAATTGTTTTTTTACCACTGAAAGGTTGTAACAAATGTATTAATTTGCTGCACGTTTGCAAACATGATTTCCTTTTAGTTTATAAGCTATACACTTTAAGCTAACATTTTACATCTTAATGTAGAAAAATATCTGCTCATGGTTGCAGGTTTTGTTTTGTTTTTTAGTGACTTCTCCAATAGGGAAGTAGCTATAACCGTAGGTGGCCTGGTGAGACCTCGAACCGGGGCAGATTTACTTTTCTTTTTGATCACACAGGAGACCAAAAATACTTTTTGTTGAAATGGTTTTATATTTATGTGTGTGTGTGTGTGTGTGTGTGTGTGTGTGTGTCCGTGAGCTTAAACGGGATAAACTTAAATGAGTTCGCAAATCAGCAAGATTAGTTAAAGAGAACAGAGTGTTATGGGGTTCGATATTTTTCAAAAATTAGTTTCTCCAAATGTTTACGCTTAATACATGGAAATTCCCAACTCTCATCACATCCATCGTGTAGAGCTTAACGAAAACAAACAATTCATTATTTTGAAGATTATTATACAATTAAGGTTTACAGTGAAAGTAAAAAAAAACTTTGCATTAAAAATCCTATGTTATGCTTTGTGGAGGAAAAGTAAACTGTTGTAGTTTGGTTGTCTATGGACATATTTTGATCAAATTTAGCATATTTCTTCATCAAACGAAATACTAACAACATGTTAAAAACAAAAAACCTTTTTACCCAACCTTTAGTAGCAAACGCAAGTACTCGTTAAAACTAATGTTGTGTAAATAGGGGATGAATCTGACAAGTTACATCCATACATGTATACAAGACATACATTAGTACAAATTCAATCAGGAAATTAAATTCATTTATTCTGTAGGTTTGATGTAGTGGGGTGGGGTTTAATTTTGAAACATGGTACTATTAATATAAAACTCTCAGAAAACAAGAACAACTTTGTTAGTTCTGTTAACATGACTTTGTTAATCTTTAAAATCAATTCATTATTGATTCTTTATAAGGATATCCTTTAGAATCCCTTTAGACGATTGCCTAACAATGTTTTTACTTTGAGCCTAGAATAGAAAAACACGCAGTATTTAAAAAAATAATTCTGTAATGCAGTCCCCTTTTTTATATGTAATTCTTAAAATTTTACATATTAAAAAAAATACTATGCGTGAAGTTGCAAAAGCTAGTTTTTCACTTTTCGTATATTCTGATGTGTGATACAACACGATATTACTTAAATTCAATTCAACCTTAGGCAGACTCAGCTTTGCCATGTATTTGGTATTAAAATACTAACCTTGTTCATTAAATGATCATCAAACCCCACGACAGAATGACCACACTGACACCGAAGCGTCACTCGGGTTAGGTGCGTCACCCGACGTAGGTCATAGTCCAATGCCCGAGAAACACAATGCATGTACTACACTAACACTATGACAGTGACACACGTCAGTGTCAACGCCGCGTTTCAAAACATATGACGTTACATTGGTCAGTGTGACGTACCAAATCGATTAATTTTCATAGCATCTCTTCTAAGACACATTTGTTGTGAGTAGTCGGCACTTTGCGAGTAATAATGAACGCAAATAAATGAATAAGTTTGTAAAGAAGAACTCGCCTTTGGCTCGCTGGGGGCTCCGCCTCCAGGCCCTCTAGCTGTTAGTCGTCATTAGTATATTACAGTTTTGTCGCTTTTGTCGTTTTGTAGCTCCACTTCAAAGCACCTCTTATACAAAAGTTCTCTGTAAAAAAATGCTGTAAGAGATTAGAATAGGTTTGTAAGGGGTTATTAATGGTAGGCGCTTTAATTATTCGTTTACAGTCCCATCATAATAAAGCAGTTAAATTGATCGTCACTAATAAAAAGTAAATAAAATATTGCAGCAAGAGGAGATCAAGTAAGCCACTAAAATATTGCAGATTTAGCTTTAAAACCAATGAAAGTAATAATAGGCCCCCAATGTGGGTTGGTGGCTAATTCGGAGCAGTTGGTAAGTAAAGTTAGCCGATTGAGTTTGTAAAGGTTTTTGGTAAAATTGAGTTAGGGAGAGTTAGGGAATAGGTAAAAAAGTCTATAATATTAGTCCTCCAACTAGAAATGTTCAACCTTTGTAGTGGCAAGGCATTTTTGGCAATTTCGCAGCCATATTTTCGAAAATTCATCTAAACTAAACCAACAGAGCAAACGTCATGGTCGTCATGTAAATTTTGTTTCAAATTTTAGCCCATTTAGTGTATTGTCAACCTAGTGGTGGGCTACATAGACGGGCGACTGACTAGCTTAGTATGATAAACAACTCATACTGAGTTGATACGGTTCAACTCGTAAGTCTACTCAAAAAATGGTCATGGACCCAGCAAACACTTAGGCCTTTTCATTTTTCTTTCCTCCTGCTGCACTTTTTGGACGCCAAAAGTTTCTTTCTTGAACTTTTGGAATTAAATATTATTGATTGATCTACAATATATTTGTATTTTATACATATTCAAATGCGTATCTTCGTAAAGTTGTTCATGTGATCATGCTTCACGGATGATTGAGTTGAGCCGAAGGAAATGTTATAATACTGTTGAGCTTTGCAATGGCACTGTGTACTGTTCTACATTATGCTATCCAGTGTCCTTATTCCGTTGCAAAGCACGGGTAAAGCTTGTAATTAAATATTACAAGTCCCTTAGGTTCACTGTATAAAGTACTTTTTCATTCGTTTATTTAATTCAATTTCAAGGTTACTTTTTCCCTTTTAACTCTGTAATGGTTTGTTGAAAATCGTGTCATATATTTATATTATTTTAAATCTTGGTGGAAAGTAACAGAGAATAAAAGTAACCATGGGATTGCAGCGCAGCTGGAACAGCTTATTCTGCACCCCCATTCACAGGTCCTTATTCTTTGTCAAATCCCAGGTCCTTTGTGAACCATGAGATCCTTTTGACTATGGTGACCCGTTCTTCCCTTTGATATCCAGTCGATAGGCCAAGCGATCTCATGCGCAGATCTCGTAGGGCTGGAAACATAAATATCACGTGGAATGCTGTCTCCTCCTCCTCTCCACATTTCCTACATAAGAGGCTTTCAACTTGAATTCCCATCTTGTGTAAATGTCCACGGAATACCCAATGGCCGCTAATAAAGCCAACCACCTTCCGCAGGGTCTTCCTTCTCAGCCCAAGGGCATCTGCCGCTATCACACCAGTAAGTGCCTGCAGCAATCTCTTTGACCGTACACTGCCTTCTGTTTTTTCCCAGCTCCTTCGATGTTCTATGCCCATCCACTGGCAAACAGCTCTCCGTGCTGTGCTGTAAGCAATGCCACACGTCGGCTCTGGGCCCATGAGCGGGCTTTCAGCTCCTTTGTTTGCCCACTTGTCAGCTCCCTCATTGCCAGCAATACCTTTGTGCCCTGATGATCCTGTCGTTCTTTCCCAGGGCTTTCATGGCCTGATGACAGTCCCATACAGCCTTGGAGGTAAGTTCAAAACTGGCAAGTGCCATTACTGCTGCTTTGCTGTCCGAGTTCATGTATACAGTGTGGCCTATAAGACCACGCTTCAAACACACTCTTGCACACTCGTACAGGGCAACAACTTCTGCCTGGAATACAGTGGCCATTTTTCCCAGGCTTACGCAGAACTGCGCCATGGGTCTGACTCCATAAATTCCAGCCCCCGTGCCCGTCGGCTTTTTCGAGCCATCCGTATACCAAATGATCCCCCCTTTCATGTATTCAGGTTCACCCTTGTCCCAGGCATCCCTGTCAACAATGTTGACATTGTATGGTTTTTATAGATCTGTGATCTTCAACATCCTGTCCGGTAGCATTTCCAAGGTGTTCATCTGCACCTTGTCTACAATTATTGTGTGCTAACTGGAGGCATTATACTTCCAGTTGCCACTGCAAGCCATTCTGTAGGCTGCTAACCTTGCCTCTCCTTTCACAATGATGTCGAGAGGTGGCAGGTTTAGCACTACTTCCAGGGCTGCAGTTGGAGTGCCTCTCAGGCTCCTGTGATGCTAAGGCATGCCACTCGCTGGATCTTTTGTAGTCTCTTTACAGCAGTAGTTTGCATTACCTTGGT